GTATTAAACGTTGTTTGTCCTAGAGCTAATAATTACCGAGATATTACAGTTTCATTTCAGAAAAAAAATTCAATTATTCCAGGGAAACTTCATTCATTTCAAAATTATAAGATGCTTGAAAAACATGTCGAACGATAGTGTAGTATAGCAATGGTACGAACAAAAACAAGTACTACACGATTATGCACCTTTTCTAATATTTTCAATTAAAAAAAATTCATTTATTCCAGGGAAACTTTATTCGTTTGAAAATCATAGGATGGTCGAAAAAAGTGTCGAACTGTAGTACAGTACATATAGTAATCGAACGGAGGAAAAAAATACTGCTCGATTATGCAGCTCTTCAACTTGGTCGATGCGTTTTCGCGTCCGCGGAGCATAGATAGGAAGGTTTTATCTAGTGACGCATTCGAGGAGCCTCGTTCGCGTTGGCAACGATTAAGCGACGCCAATCGTTTAATTGAAATGTCAAAAAATCCGTCCGACTTGGAGCTTTCAACGGCTCTATCTACCCTCCGTGGAGATTCGTTAATTGCGCGGCTGGTTGTGTCACTGGTGAAACAGATAAAAACTATATCGTGAATTGAATACGCGAGCCTCAACCACCGTATCTTTATCTTTCACACTTGTACTGGCTCTTCTCTTTTTGCACAGATCTCGAGCTCAGATCGTGCCGAATTCGGTTTTTAGAGGAGCGACGGGTGAACGCTCGATTTTTCTACGGAGATTGTTGTTCGTAGGTTGTTTCGGGATCAGGTTGAACTTGTTTTTGGGTAGTTTTGTGGCAGTTCTCAAATTTGTTTAGTCTAAGAGGTGTTTAAATTTTTGGACAAATTTCCTTGGAAGTGAAAATTTTCATCTTTGTCTGCAAATAATATGTATAATTTGTACCAAAGTTTCAATTCTCAGTGTTCTCCAAGCAGACAAATTTTCTCCTTTAAAAGAAGTGCATTGAAATCTTTAATGCCAGACTTCGTTTCCATCCATTTACCAAAATTTCAATTTTTGATATTCTCCAAGGAGACAAATTTTCTCATTCAAAATAATTGCATTAAAATCTGCAAACAAACTTTGAAAAAATTCCTTTGTTAAATTTCCATCTTCAGAAAATTGTACCAAAATTTCAATTCTCAATGTTCTCCAAAGAGACAAATTTCCTTCTTTAAAAGAATTTCATTAAATTTTCATCTTTGTCTGCAAATAATATGTATAATTTGTACCAAAGTTTCAATTCTCAGTGTTCTCCAAGCAGACAAATTTTCTCCTTTAAAAGAAGTGCATTGAAATCTTTAATGCCAGACTTCGTTTCCATCTTCGTCTTCAAAAAATTGTACCAAAATTTCAATTTTTAATATTCTCCAAGGAGACAAATTTCCTTTTTTAAAAGAATTGCATTAAAGCTTCCAAACAAACTTTGACAAAACGTTCCTCTTTCGCGAGAATTTCGCAAAAATTCCTAAACAAACTTCCTTTCCATCTCCCAATATTCTCTAAAGAGAGACAAATTTCCTCTTTCACGAGAATTTCATAAAACCTCTAAACAAACTTTGAAAAAATTCATTTGTCAAATTTCCATCTTCATCCTCAAAAAATCTCAGCTCTCAATATTCTCCAAGGAGAAAGAGAAATTTCCCCTTTCACAAGAATTCCACAAAGATTCCTAAACAAACTTCGCCTCCACCTCGATCCTGAAAAAATTCTACCAAACTCTCAACTCTCAATATTCCCTAAAAAACGACACAACTTTCCTCTTTCACGAGAATTCCACAAAAATCCCTAAGCAAACCGTCAGTTCCATCACCATCCTCGAGAAATCTCTTCTCCCAAAGTCTGAGCTCTCGATGAAACCACAAAAAAAGGAAAACACCGTGGAAAAACATAAAATTGAGCAAAGAAATAATCGTGAAAGACGAAAAGCGACAGGGCGATGTTAGGCGATGTGTTGGAACAAGGGCGGAGCCACGAAGGCGACGCAGCAGGGCCGAATATTCGGGGATAAATCAATTGGACATGCAGGGATTTAATCTCCGGTGTGCAACGACGAGGAGCACCGGCCATAATCTTAATGGGGCATAAAACAGCCATTACAGATGGCCCGGCGGGTGACAACACGCTGTAAATAATGTACACCGCCACTTTCGCCAGGCGTGTCGTTCCAACGTTCCACTGATAACTGCATTTCCTCTGACAGCGAGCGCGTCTTTCCAGACGCCACCATTTTTCAGATCAACGTGATTAAAACACGTTCAACTGTCCAAAGAATATCAGCACGAACTTGATTCAACTTCAACCAACTTAACTTATTAACCAGAGAATTGGAACAGTTAACTTGCCGTTGCTTAATTAATTAACACTTAGAGAGAAATTATTTTGCATTGTAAACAATTGTTAAAAATTATCAAGATCCTAGGAAAAGAATGATTCAGTCTGGAGTATTGTAGTGCAAGGAGTATATACGTATATTTTTATCGATATACGACAGTAACTTTGGGGAAGAAATGTAATTCAAGTTAAATACAATATAACCGGTGTCCTAACACTTGTCAATTACTGTCTGTGTGGCAGTTCAAATTATTCTGAGTCATACGTGGTTCAATGGACAGTGAACGTGTTAATAATCGTAAAATTGCTTCCTTTTTTTGCAATTTTATTACACATTTGATATACCGGGTGTCCAAATTGTTTCTTACCAAACTTTGCCAGTGTCTTCTACAGGTATAGCCAAGAAGAAAATGTCATATGAACATAGGCCATTTGAAGCTTCGTTAAAAAGTTATAACAAAGAATAGGAAATACGAATAGTTACGAAGATACAAGATAGGAAACTCACTGGCAGAATTT